GACAAGTACAATTAACCCTTTGTACTCTCTGTTCTTTAACTTTTTTAAAGATACAATTGAGCTTTGCGTATTCCTCCTAGAGATACAATACTAAACAAAACAATTTTCATTGCTTGCCAATGGATAGGGTGTTTTATGAAACTTTTCTATGTATGACAACTTTGGTTCCATAGGTCAGGGAACCAAAGTGAGAGGTCTTCAAAATGCTAACATACCTATTTTCCTTTCTTTATCTAGAGGCAAGGGAGCTCACCCTTGAGTGGGTCTCTGACCACAGCATATTCACAGTAAATATACTTAGGTTAGTGTCTTAGATTTTGATTGCTGTGACAAGACACCATGACCACAGCAATTCTCACAAAGAAAACTCTTAATTGAGGGTGGCTCGCTTACATTTTCAGAGGTTCAGTCCATTATGATCATGATAGGGAGCATGGCAATGTGCGGGCAGACATGGTGCTGGAGATGAGTCCTACATCTTGACTCTGAGGCAACAGGAAGTCGACTGACTGTCACACTGAGGGAAGCTTGAGAAAAAGAGACCTCAAAGTCCGCCCCCACAGTGACACATTTCCTCCAATAAGACCACACCTCCTAATAGTGCCACTCCCTTTGGGGACCATTTTCTTTCAAACCATCACAATTAGTGTTAGTATGGCTCCTATTATCTGATGCCCTTATTTTGTAGGACATGTTCTTATTTATTTTGCTATGAAAATGATTCACAGATAAATGAATTGTATACTAAAAAATCTATTTAATTGTATACATATGTGAGTGTATGTATACTCCACCACATGTGTACCAGAGTTCTCAGAGGTTCGAATATGGATTGATCCCCTGGAACTGGAATTATAGATGGATGTGAGCTGCCATGTGTGCTGGGAACTGAACCTGGGTCCTTTACTAGGAGTGGTGAGTATTCTTAACTGCTAAGACATCTCTCCATTCCCTCATGCACTGTTTTGAATTGGTAATTAGTTATCCTGATCCCATTACTCCTCTCTCCATGTTCTCATTAATTCTTCTGTCAACCACCCAATTTCATATTTGTGTGTGGAGCTATGGCACACGCCAATGACCTTCTTTCAGTGTGTGTTTCATCCTAGTTCCCAAGCGAAAGCCATAACAGTAGTACTGCAATAGCTTGCCGCCAGTAAGAAACCACTAATTTGGGATCCTCGTTGATAGCCAACGAATAATCTATTCTGTAATCTCACCCTTTCTGTCTACTGCTGTCACTGGTATTTTCAAGTTCGATCCCTTAGGATAAGTTCAAAATGGGGATTCTTATGCACTGGTTTATTGAGGGAGTGCTCACAAAAGATAGGGAAGCAGACAGGGGCAGGGAAAGAAGCTAAGCAAAGATGTAATTTCAAAGTCTGGGATCAGAGTCATCTAGTGAGACGCTCCGAGAAATCACACCCCAGAAATACTCATCTTGACATGTGATGATGTGGCTTTTGTAACTGTTTATCATTAAAGAGTTATTGGGCACCCAGGAGTTGCTTAACTTTTAAATCTCAGGTACTAGAGGGCAGGGAGATGCTCACTGAGAAACTAAATTGGCAGTTGCTAATTTCAGTGAAGTTCATAGTAATTTTATGTACCACTCAGCTAGATTGTATTTATCTAGCTCCCTAATTATTAGTCATTTTGATTATTTGTAGTTTTTTCTAGTACAAACCATGTGGAGATTACTATCTTTCTCTAAATAGCTGACACATGTACTTTTAAAGCACTGATAAGATAATTGGTAAAATACAAATGAGACCTAGATTTGTCAGCTTTTTATCGTATAATAACCATATTTAAGGGTGAAAATCAAGATAAGCTTTGACTTAAAAATGGAAATGTGTTTAGTTGCTGCATGGATATGGGGATGAGAGATAGAAATTAAATTGTAACAACAACAAAAAATATGCAAGGATAGATTTGATAACCAAGAAAAAGTGCTTAAAAGTTTGAAGAAATAAATGTAGATTTTATAGTTAGGTGCCCATGAATTTTCTAGCCTTTTAACAAATAAAATGAACTGTGAAAATTGGCTGAAAAACTAGGTTAAGGGATCTTCTTATTGACTTAACGCAATCAGATATCTTTTCCATATTTAGACCATTAATAAGCACTTAAATATGTATCTACCTGTAAATGAGCAAAAAGCAGCCTGAGTAACTGCTCCAAAAGACAGAAGTTAAGGCTATGGATTTAAGAGATGGTATGTAAAGCTAACACTGGGGATTTAGGTGAGGAACTTCTGAAGAAAGGAATGCATGCTTCCTTCCAAGGTTATTAGAAACACATGGCAAGATGTTCATGCAGGAAAAGAGAAACCTTTGGAAAAAAGAATTAACTCATATAAAATGGAAACTAATAACCCAAAAATCTAAGATATTTAATTATTGAAAAAACACTTCTTAGCTATAGGATTACATAGATAAATTATAAAGTAAATTATTTTAGAAAACTCACACTAACAGTTGCCCCCATAGGAAAGAAGGTATTTTCTTTATAAAATACATTTTACCTTTTTACATTTTTTGTTGGAAAGTGTTATATATGTGTTGCTAAATGCCACAGCATACATGTGGAGGTCAGAGAACAAGCTGTAGCAGTCAATTCTCTCCTTTACTATCTGGTTCCATGGAACAAAGTCAGGTTACCATGTCTAGTGGTAGGTGCCTTTACCCAGTAAGCCATCTTTCTGGACAAAAATAAAAAAAAATATTTTAAACTGGGACTCATTTTGTTGTTCCTGCTGATCTGGAATTCTCTATGTAGACCAGGCTAGTCTTGAATTCATGGAGATCCACCTGCTTCTATCTCCTGAATGCTGAGATTGGATGTGTATATCACTATGCGTATCCCAAAACTAAAGTTTAAAAATGGGTTTTAAAACAGCAGAAGATTTAAAAATAACTAGTAAATTAAAAAGAAATAGCAGTTGTAAATGTAAAATAACAAAATAGTTTTTGTTCAGTTCATATGAACCATTGATCTTGGTTCAACTTACTGATTTCAAATAGTTGAAATAGAAACAATTTTTTACTTGTTTAATATGGCAGAATAGTGTCATTGTAAATTGGAATGCAAAATTAAAATAGCTCACTACACAATATAATTTGTAATGAAGATTCTTTGACAGTTTTATGTCATGATGTGGTATAAGAACAGTGATGAAAATGAAACACTTGTTGAAGGACAGAAGACTGTAAGTAAAACCCTGTCTTGTACAACAATAAAGATAATTTCATACTAGTGTTCAAAAAAGGAAATAGCGACTCTGAACTTTATCTTTGTTAGTCTACCATCTACAAGTAAAAAAAATATTATATGGCAGAAGTGGTATATTCTTAAGAAATAGGAAGACTACAAACAGTAAGCACTATTAGATTAAAAAACCAAATTGTTGTAGAGAAACTTCATTAATGATTTATAAGGAAGGATATACATCATGTTAATTAAATTTGCAGATGATGGCAAATTGGATGGTGTTGACAAAACCAGAGAGGGCACATAAAAAGAGACCTAAAGTGGTTAGAAATATGGGCAGGAAATGAAATGTGATTCAACCTGGAAAAATGTAGCTAGTACATCTGGGGAAAATAATCAGAAACACAGCCATCCAGTTGGCAGCATATACAGTGCTTGGAAAGTAGTACTACCAAGAGACTTTGTTTGAGATGATAGTGGCGGCAAATTATGTACGGTCTCATAACATAGTACTCAGTAAAGTCAGTCAATGAGATTTTAGTATGTGCATCCAAAGCGTCCATACCACATGGCTGGAAACTAAAAGTTATTTTACTAGTACTGCTAAGATCACAATGAGAATACCAGTTTGTGACACACACATGATTCAATTAAGGACATTGCATAATGTTCAAACTGGAAAATAAATGTATGACAAGCTTTAGACTTTAACTTACTGCAAAAGATTAAAGGAAAGCATATTGTTTGTTTGTTTTCTGTTATTTCCAGTTACAATATTTTATAAATATTTGAAAGATGTAGACAGTCATGGAAGTCAAGTCACTTTAAAGGTAGGATAAGAGGCTTTGTAGTTAAGTACTGGGATGAAATTAAGTAACGGAAATTTAAGACTGAATCCGGGAAGTGTTTTCTGACAGTGAAATCTATTAGTCTCTGGAATGCAGTCCCCAGAGAGATGGGGGGAAGTTCCATTCTCTAGTCATTGGACTGGATCAAGGCTTGGACAAAACACTGCTCTCGCGTGCGTGCGCGCGCGCGCGCGCGCGCGCGCACACACACACACACACACACACACACGAGACAAAAGAAAAACCAGTTTGAACATTCTGTATTAGCAGAGCTGTGTGCGCACAATGACACCATCAGATCTCATCTAATTATCTCATCCCAGACTTTTCTGACATGCTGGAGCCTATCATTAAGGAACTACCTATTATTATTTTTTTAATGAATGCTTTTAAAAAGATCAAATTCATATTTTCCAGCTCATAGACTTCAATTTCCTGGATTATTATTTCTTTCTTCCAACTCCTGGGAAAGCTAGAAAAGAAAACAGCCTTCCTTTCCCTGTTGATGAGAATGGCCTTAAATATTCCAAACCTTTGGATCCAATCATCTGAGGACGCTGAGCTCTGAAGTCCCACTTACACCACTCCATTAGAAACATATTGTGATTGCACTTTTGCACCCACAACTGTGGAAGAAATGAAATTCCTTGACTTCATTTTCTGGAGATCTTCACCAGATGCTGTCCCGGAGGTGCCGCTTTCTTTAAGAAAGCAGTACAACTGCGTTTGAAAAATTTAAAGGATGCAGTTCATCCAAACATTAAAACATTATGTCAATTGCACATTTAAATTACCTAGGATGACTTTATCTATAATTGTATTTGGTGCCTAACCAAGCAAAAAAGAATGAAGATGATGAGTACTTTTAAATAAAAATTTGGTTTGAATACAAGCTGTGATTTGTTTAAATAAAAACATGAAAACATGTATTAGGTTTTAGGCAGTAGGCATATGTGTTTATTTAATACATATATGTATTGTATGTACATATGTAAGTATATACATATACATACATGCAATCTAAAAGGAGGCCCATGAGTTACATTTTGCACTATCAGTCCCTTTTGTTATTTCTTTGGAAAGAAGTAAGTCAATGTCCTATCCCCATGCTGAACATACCAGCTGCAGAGAAATTTATGCTAAGGAAATATAAGCATTACAGATAAATATCAATTTTTAAATAACATTATTTATTTTTTGAGATTATAATTACATCATTTCCCCCTTCCCTTTCCTCCATTCAAACCCTCCTTAGTACTTCCTGCCTTGCTCTCTTTCAAATTCATGGTCTCTTCTTATATATTGTTGTTACATAATATATGTGTAACAACAATTAAAGATGTATATATCGCTTTTTAATAGATAATTTTGTAGAATTTGTTGAGCTCTAATAAAAATGAGCTAGAAAAATGGTATTAAGAGTTAGGGTAAACAGATTATTAATGAACGTTCTTCAGAATAGACCAATAGCTCGTGAGCTTGTGCACACGCACACACACACACACACACACACACACACACACACACACACACACCCTGAAACTATGGAGTATGATGTGAGTCTGTAAAGCAGGTATCCCAGGCCAAGTCTGAGAGCTGGAAGATGCTGTAGATATCCAAGAAGAACAATGTCGTTATTTGAAGGCTGGAGAATTTTTTCTTGTTCTGCTCAGACCTTCAGTGGATTGGATTTGACACTCTGACGTGATCTGTGTTGTTCAGTCTACCGGTTTAAATGCTAATCTCAACCAGATATTTGGGCATCTTGTGGCTCTGTGGGATGACATAAAAAAAAAAAAAACTAACAATCACACATAAATTCAGAGGAATTTAAACTAGAGAACATTTTAAAGAGAGAAAATACAACTTGAAATAGTCCATGGAAACTATTCTAATTACAATAAATAGAAAAGAACAGGAGAACAGACGACCCAAGGAAAGTTGGTGGCTGTGGAAAGGGCTGTCAGGAAGGGGGGACTATCCATGGTTAACTTATTTCTAGAGTGGATAGAGTGTGCTCAGTTACGAACATAGAGAGCGATACCCGTCAGAGGTTAGAGTTGTGCAGTTGAAATGAGGAAGTTGGGGAGATGATTTTACTTTACTTGGCTTCCAAAAAAAGATTTCTTTTTGTGCCACAGAAGAAATCACAAGGAAATACCATTTTTATTCCACTTTACTCTTAAATATATTCAGGATATTTTATGGCTTTTTGAGACAGACTCCTATAGTGCACACAGTGACAGACTCCTGTAGTGTACACAGTGACACACTCCTAGAGTGCACACAGTGACAGACTCCTGTAGTGCACACAGTGACAGACTCCTAGAGTGCACACAGTGACAGACTCCTAGAGTGCACACAGTGACAGACTCCTGTAGTGCACACAGTGACAGACTCCTGTAGTGTACACAGTGACACACTCCTAGAGTGCACACAGTGACAGACTCCTGTAGTGCACACAGTGACAGACTCCTAGAGTGCACACAGTGACAGACTCCTAGAGTGCACACAGTGACAGACTCCTGTAGTGCACACAGTGACAGACTCCTGTAGTGCACACAGTGACAGACTCCTGTAGTGCACACAGTGACAGACTCCTGTAGTGCACACAGTGACAGACTCCTGTAGTGCACACAGTGACAGACTCCTGTAGTGCACACAGTGACAGACTCCTGTAGTGCACACAGTGACAGACTCCTGTAGTGCACACAGTGACAGACTCCTGTAGTGCACACAGTGACAGACTCCTGTAGTGCACACAGTGACAGACTCCTGTAGTGCACACAGTGACAGACTCCTGTAGTGCACACAGTGACAGACTCCTGTAGTGCACACAGTGACAGCTCCTGTAGTGCACACAGTGACAGACTCCTGTAGTGCACACAGTGACATTCTAGAGTGCACACAGTGACAGACTCGTAGAGTGTATAAAGTAGCATACTCCTGTAGTCCTAGACACTCAGGAGATCAAGGTGGAAGAAGACTTTGTTCTCGGAAACGACCATCTGAATAACATAGTAGAGCCCCATATCCTTAGAAGAGTATGTATATTTTAAAATATTTATTTATTTTGTATGTGTGTGCTCGCCTGCTTTAATTTATGTGCATCACAAGCATTCGGGAGCCTGCTGAGACCAGAAGAGGTGGTTGGATCCCTAGAACTGAAGTGATAGGCAGTTGTGAGCCACCATATAGGTGCTGAAAACCAAACTCAGGTCCTCTGCAAGAGCAGTAAGTGTGCTTAACTGTTGAGCCATCTCTCCAGCTCCCCAAATGTATGTTTTGAAGGAAATAAATGAACGGGCTTATAATATATCAATACAATAATAACAAACTTTATGTGTTAATGAGTCATTCAAGAGGATTGTGTGGGTATATAGCTACATGTGAGTTAACAACTGCCCACTTTCATCAAAGATGAGTATTTCTTGGGCCTATGTTAAATGGCAAAGCTAAGAGATGTACCTGTACCACAAGAGTACAATTCACTCTGCCCTGACCAAGGTAAACAGCCTGCTCTTTCCACCCCAACCGATGCGTCCTGCACTTCACACATTTTCTGCAATTAGGCCTTCTTAGTGCAGTGAACAGACTGCTGTTCAAATCTCAGTTTTAGTGGTGCATAGAGTGATATAATCCCAGTGCATTTGCTTCATTTTAAAATTGCACCAAGATGAACTTACTGCTTCCCTCCGCATGTGCTGCGTTGGTATGTTAGCTTAGGTAGCTCGTTGAGAAAATTGACATCTGCATAGTCTTTATGTAGCAAGCTCTTTGAATTGCCCTGTCCTCTTCTGTGGGCTCATTGGTTCCCTCCACAGCCAGAGGTGGCTGCTTCTACACAAGTATAGAATTTGAGCACCGCGTGTCCTCCAGACACACCAGTGGCTGTGCTCTACTGTGTATAGCTGGTTGATTGAAACTTGCTTCGAGAACCTTCCATGTCACTGGTGTTTTCTAGAAGAGAGTAACTGATGTCAGGGGAGTACTGTGGGGAAAGTTACCACACAAGGCATCAAAACTAAGATCCACCCTGAGCACGGCGCTGGCAGGTAGGGTGGGGAACACAGACAGATACTGCCTTTTCTTACTGAGGCACTGAGCCGAGGAAGGAGCTCTTCTGACATCACAGAATTAGGACACTTGCTTGCAAATTTGGGGATGTTTATATTGTTATTTCTATAAACAAAATACAAAAATACCTAACTCAGCAGGAAAGAGTAAAACTTCATATAAACTAGAAGTAGACCTTGTCTTTAGAACAGTTCACTCAGATAAATAATATGTGCTAAATCTAATTATAGAAGCATAATTTGAATTAACATAGGATTCAAATGTTCTTGTATTCAGTAACAAAAATTTCTGGGCTATTATCATGTAACAGCCTGCTAGCTAGCAAACATTTCAACATGCAGTTTTCATTTTTATTTATTCAGTTTTTTCATTTCTTGATGTAATTTCCAAGATGTCCACCCCCCAACGTGTGACAATTCCTTACTGAGAGAACCTGATATAGCACACTGCTTCCCCCAGGGCAGCCTGGATTGTGTTTACTTGCTTGGTTCCAGAAAATTGTTTCTTTTGTGTATCTCTAGAAATTATTTTGAAACCCATAATTTTATTACACTTTACCTTTAAATATATTAAAATATTTTTGTCAAATATGTCTAAGGGCAGGGAATGTCACTCAGTTGACAGAGTGCTTGCCTAGAATACACAAAGCCCTGCATTCTGTCTCCACTACCTCATACACTGGGTGTGGTGGCTCATACCTGTATTCTCAGTGCTTGGAAAAGGAAGATCAGGCTTTATATATATGTAAATGTACATTCTAGCAATTTTATTATCTACTTTAAACATTTAGGTCAGGATCCTTTATAGGCCTAAAACTATAATTATACTTTTTAAAAACTGTATTATTGAAATATAATTTATATACTGTGCAGTTCATCCGTTTGAAATATACAGTACATGTTTTCATTATTTTCCCATAGATTTGTAAGCATAGTCAGTTTTCCTGACTCTAGAAAAATACTTGATACCTGACACTCTTCACTTCTCCCCAGCCCTCCAAATCTTAGGCAGCCACTAATGCATTTGTCTGTATTATTGTCTGTTTAGGATGTTTCATAGTAATAGAATTCCAAGTGGGCTGGAGAAATGGCTCAGTGGTTAAAAGTACTTGCTGCCCTTGCAGAGGATCCAGGCTTGGTTCCCAGCATCTTCATGGCAGCTCACAACCATCTAAACTCCAGTTTCAGGGGGGTCCAATGTCCTCTTCTGATCACCTCTGGCACCAGACACACAAGTGGTACACATACATGCAGACAAAATACTCATATGCACAAAATAAGTATAAATAAGTAAATAAATAGAATTGCATAATAATATGTTCTCTTGTGACTGGCTTCTTTTACTTAGCATGTCTCTGAGATTCATTCATATGCTATGGATCAATACTTTTATATAATATTCCCTTGTGTACATTTTTATGACTCCACTCAACTTACATTGAATTTTTTAGAAACACATTATGTATAAGTCTAGATGATCACTCATATACCAAGGAAAAAGTTTGGTTCATTCCGGTATGATTACTATGGACATGAAAATATGCTGGTCATTAGAAGATGCTAAAATAACTATCTTAAGAATACTCCTTTATGGTTTACTGCTATCTCTTCTAATGTTCTCATTAGTGTATTCTATGGGCCTCATTGTTTTTAATCTCAAGGAATTAGAACTATATATAAGTTGTTCCACCTTTGTTGAGCTCAATTGACTATTCTGAGAAAGAGAATGATAACAATAGAATAGCATCCTGAAATACTATGCACACAGTGTTCAAGCAATATCAGGAACAGTTATTTCTCAGTAAATATTATATACACCAGAAGTCAAAGCTATTGTCCTTCAGGACTAGTGTCTAAAGTTTAGCCACCAGCCACACTTCAAGTACTTACATCTCAACTTATAATCTGTACTTTGTGTAATTCATCATTCAGATGCCCTTCACTGAATTCAGTTAAATTCATCATGGACTCTGAGTTGTGATGCCCAGAATAAACTTTGGTGTTCAGATGTAGTTTGATCACTGTAGATTAATGGTATATTTTTATGTTGGTAGAAATTTAGAATCTGTGTTCATTCATTCTTTCATTTATCTATTATGTATTTCCTATGTACCATAAGTAGGTAATTTGTAGTTACTTAGAACTGAACAAGTAATAGTAATTGATCTTAGGACTTAATTTTAAAGACTTACATATGCATATTTCTAAACATAATTGTATTTATGTGAAATCATATCTTACACATATAAAACTTGTGTATCAATTACAGATTTGGATACAGAATGTTACTGAGTATCTTTTGCTGAGGAAAAGAGAAGAATTCTGGGTTCTTAATGAAACAAGCATGCAACAAGGAAAAGAAAGAATTCAAAAGGGGCAAATATTTGAAGTATGTAAGACTCAACAAGGCAAGAAAGACTTAAGAAAAGATTAAATTGTGATGTATTCTCCATGATCTTTTAGTTTAATGAAAATATAATTAATCTTTCAAGAAACTAAAGTTGCTTGGTGAAAAGGAGGGAAGTAGAACAAGTACTTATTAGGAACAGAGTAAGAGTAGGTGGAGAATACAGGAGGCAGATGGGGCATTTCCTAGGTGAACCTGAGGATCAGCGGACAGGTCTCTGTTGGTTATATGAAACATTAATTAATAACCAGGACAGTTTCTCAAAAGCAGCAAGATGAGCAAAGGCTGGC